TATTTGCCTATGACGAGTACGCGCGCTGTATATTAGCCTATATGACGATCTCGCGTACGTAATTTGATAATTTATTAAAACTAATCGTCGTCGCTTCAATAACTTCTAAATTTCAGAAACTTAGCTAAGACATGTGGTTTATAATGTATCTAGAATTTTAGAATGTAACTCAAATCGTTTCGCGAGGATTAATTAGCTATACGATTACCGCGCGTAATATTAGCCTATGACGATACCGGCCGCGTACGTATTATTTCTGGGATAATTAATTAAACTATTCGTGCTTTAATTAACTCAAAATACAGAAAACCCAATAAGCATAAAATGATAGATAATAATTAGTTATCTAAAATTTTTAAGAAATGTACCTCAAAATCGTTCGCGAGATATTAGCGCTATGACGATACCGCGCGTTATAGTTAGCCTATGACTTATACCGCGGCAGTACGTATATTGTCTTGGTGAATAATTAAACTTATTCGTTGCTTTCATAATAAAGCTTTCAAAGATCACAAAAAACGAGAAGCTAAAGACATGTGGTTCTAATATGTATCTAGAATTTTAGAAATGTACTGAAAGTGCGTTGCGGGACTATAGCCTATGCGATGACGCGCGTACGTATATTTCTGTAATGAATTAAACTGATTCGTGTGTTCAGATAAACTCAAAATTCACAGAAAACCGTAAGCTAAAGACAGTGTGGTTGGTATGATGTGTATCTAGAATTTTAGAAAGGTAACTCAAAATCGTTCGCGAGATATTGCTCTATGACGATTACCGCGCTAGTATTAAGGCCTATGACGATACCGCGTCGGTAACGTTATATTTCTGAATAATTAATTAATACTAATCGTCGTGCTTCATAAACGGGGAAATTTATCAGGAAAACCGAGTTACTAAGGAACACATGGTGTTTATATGTATCGTAAGAAGTTTTTAGAATGTAAATCAAAATCGTTCGCGAGATAATTAGCACTTATGATCGATACCGCGAGTTATTAGCATAGTGAGGGCATACCGGTATCGTTTATATTTCGGGTAATTAAGTTAAAATATTCGTTGCTTCAATAAAATCAAAGATTCACACAAACCAATAGCTAAGCATGGTGATTTATATGTAGGTCTAGGAATCTGATGAAATGTACCTCAAATCGGTTCGCGAGGATATTAGCCTATGACGATACCGCGCGTATATTAGCCTATGACTATACGCGCGGATCTCCGCGTAGCGTCATAATTTTCTTAGGAATTAATTAGCTATATTCGTGCTTTCAATAAAACTCAAAAGATGACGGAAACAGTAGAATGAATGACAATGTTGCGTTATATGTATCTCGAATATATTATAAAATGTACTTGCAAATTCGGCGTAGGTATTATGCTATTTGACGATACGCGGTCGCCGATATTTAGACCGCTGATGACGCATGATACCGCGTCCGCCCCCGGCAGTAAGGTATATTTTGCGGGAAGTAGATTAACTGATTCGGGGTGCTTCAATAAGACTCAAGAAAATTCACAAAACATAAGCTAGAGGACATGTGTTTTATTGTGTTCGTAGAATTGTTAGAAAGTAACTGGAGAATCTGTTTCGCGAGAGTATTAGCCGATGACGGATCGCGGCGGTAGTATGTATTTCTGGTAATTAAGTTGAGAAGGAAACTATTGCGTGTTCAATAAACTCAAAATTCACAGAAACCGGTAGACTAAGGGACATGTGTTTATGATTGTACATGAATTTTAGAAACGTTATTCCAACATGCGTTCGGCCGATAGAGGTACTGTTGCGCGGTATGAACGAGGTTACACGCGAGCGGGTATGATTGAGCTATGCACGATACCGCGGCTGTAGCTGATATGTGCTGAGATAATTCGGAATAGTAAAATGTCGAATCGTCGGGCTTCAAATAAACTGAAGAATTTACAGGAGACCATAGGCTAAGAACCGCTGCTCTCCCAGGCCCGCGTTGTATAGTGTATTATACGAATTTTCAGGGAAATGTAATGCAAATCGTGTTCGCGGACGATGATTTAGCGTATGACGGGATACGCGGCGCCTTGATTATGTACGCCGTCCATGAGCGAAGTGACCGCGCGTAGTATACTTTCCGTTAATTCACATTATAACTATTCTGCTGCCAATGAAACTCCAAAAATTCACAGAAACCATGAGACTAGAATGTGTTCCTATCATTTATCTAGAACTCTCCTAGAACACGTGTACCTCACATCGTGTCGCAGATATTGGTCTATGACGAGCCAGTAGCCGCTGTATATTAGCTATGACCTATCATCGCGCCAGTAGCGATACTATTTTCTGCTCAATTACATTAACACATTCGTGCTCAACTAACTCAAAATTCACAGAAACGTCCCCCCCCGTACGCTAAAGCATGTGTTTATATGTATCTTAGAATTTTACGAAGTGTGAACTCAAATCGTTCGAGAGATAATTTGCTAATGACGATACGCGCGATATATAAGCCTATAGACGATACGCGCCCGTACGTATATTTTGATAAATATAATTAAACTATCGTAGTGCTTCAAATAACTGAAAATTTACAGAAAACCATAGCTAAGAATGTGTTATATGTATCTAGAATTTAGAAATGTACTCAAATCGTTCGCGACCAATATTAGGACCTATGACGATTACCGCGGTATATTAGCTATTGAACGATTAGCCGTGCATCCCCCCCCATACGTACGTAATTTTCCTGGTAATTAATTAACTTATTCGTGCTTATAAATCTAAAATTCACAGTAAACCATAGCTAAACATGTGTTTAATATGTATCTCAGAATCTTTAGAAATGTACCTCACATCGTTCGCCGCACAGATATCTAGCCCCTATGACGATTACCGCGCGTTATAGCTCATGACATATTACCGCTGCGTACGTTATATTTCTGGTAATTAATTAAAACTATTCGTGCTCTCACACACTCAAAGATTCACAGACCATAGCCTAAGACATGTTTTATATTATCTCACACTCTCTAGAAATAGTACCTCAACGGTCGCTGGAGATTTAGGCCTATAGACCGATAACCGCGCGTATATTAGCCTTATGACTATACGCGACGTAGGTATATTCTCGGTAATTAATTAAACTATGTGTTCAATAACTCAAAAATTCACAAAACCTATACGCTAAGACATGTTTTATATGGTATCTAGAACTTTTAGAATGTACTGGAATCGGGTTCGCCGGAGATATTAGCCTATGACAATACCGCGCGTACGTTATTTCTCGGTGAATTCAATTGAAACCTAATTCGGTTTGTCACATAAACTCAAAATTCGCACAGACAACCTTATGCTAAGACATGGATGTTATATGTATCAACCAGTTTTTAAGAAATGATAACTTCCAAATCCGTCCTCGCGACTATATTTGCTATGCACGATCACGCGCTATATTAGCTATGACGAACGCGTGTACGTATATTTCTTATGCATAATTAGAATTAACCTAATAGGCTCTCGATCGCACCACCTACAACTCAACATTTCCTACACAAACCCTAGCTAAACATGTGTTTATATGATACTCTAAGAACATTTTGTATAGACAATGCTCACACTCAAATCGGCGCTCTCCGCGAGATATTAGCCTTATGACGAATAACGCGCGTTATTAGCCTATGACGATACGCGGCGTAAGTATATTTTCTGAGTAATTAATTTTATACACTATTTTCGTTGCTTCAATAAACTATCAAAATTCACAGGAACCATAAGCTAAACAGTTAGTGTTCCATATATGTATCTGAATCTTGAAATGTAAACCTCAACGTTCGCGAGATATTAGCCTATGACGAAACCGCCGAGTATATTATTAGCCTATGACATTCGCGACGTTACGTAATTATTTCTCGGGTAATTAAATTAAACTATCGTGCTTCAAATAATCACAATTCACAGAAAAACCATAGCTAAACATGTGTTTATAAGTATCCTAGAACTTTTAGAAATGTAACTAACAATCACCCGCTTAACGGCGCGCAGGAGCTCATTAGGTCCCTTAGAGACGACCTACGCGCGTATCATCTCGCCCTGCATGACTATACGCGCGTCGCTCTACCTCTTGCTCGCGCGGGCCGCCCCTCTGGTACATTAATTAAACTAAAATTCCGTGCTTAAACTACAACTCAAAATCACAAAAACCACTAGCTGAAGAAGTGTCTCTTATGTATCTAGAAATTTGTAGAAATGTAACTGAAATCGTTCGCGAGATATTAGGCCTATCGACGACCTCACCGCCGCTCACCGCGCCTACTATTCATCTGGTAATTAATTTAAACCAGTTACGGTGCGTCAATAAACTTCAAATTCACAAAACCATAGCTAAGACATCGTGGTATCCGTATTATGTACTAGAATTTAGAATGTCCAGAGCCAAATCGTCGCGAGATACTCTCAGTGACACTCTACCGCAGCCTCGTACGTATATTTCTTACCGGAAATTAACTTAACTAATTCGTGTTCATATAACTCAAAATTAACCAAGAAACCTCAGCTCAAGACATGTGTTTATTGTATCTAGAATCATTCTAGGACAATGTAACTCTCAAATCAGTATCGCGAGATAATTTGCGTATGACTAGTTACGCGGACCTATATTAGCCCTAATGACGATAAATAGGATAGGATGTCTATATGGATGTCAGGATAGGATGTATTATACTATAGGATAGGATGTCTATGATTGCCATTGCCATAGCCGGGTTGAGGGCCCCGACAAACATGGTGGAATTTCGCATCATAGAGCTGGCAAATGTTTCGAGTGAAGATTGTACGGTTAATGTGCAGTGATTTTGCATGAATAAAATGCATGTTGCGTGTTGATAGCAACTGTTTACGTATTTTTAATTATTTTCTGTGTGCTGCATGCTTATTCAGGCCTGCCGCCTATGGACGCCCTCTATTGTTGGAAAACACCTGCGCCGCCACCACAAACAAGAGAGCAATTTTCATCTGATGTTCCCGCGCTCATGTACTTGTTTTGAGTTCGTAGTCGTTTGTGTTGTAGGAGTAACGATATCATGTTTGTTGATCATTATTGATATTTAAAGAATTAACTATTATTTAAGTGCAGAAAGCAAGATGGATGTATCCATTCCTGGTCTCACTACTCAGGTATGTGAGCGTTTAGGTGATCTTTGCCCAGATGAAAACAAATGCAGCGAATCTCGAGAAGAAATTCACTCCTCTGATTCAGGCTTTTGCAGAAAGCTAGCTAATCTCGCCGTGCCAGCAGATTCAAATGTCAGCACTACAGGTAGCATTTCTGTAATCGATAAAAACTCCGTGCATAGAATCTGCTCTGGACAAGTCATCCTTACTCTAGCTACGGCTGTGAAGGAACTGATAGAAAACAGTATTGATGCTGGAGCATGTGTGATAGGTTTGTTAAATTTGAAGCGCATCTACACGCTAATTTCTCCAGTACTACTACTACTACTACTACTAGACTAGCAAATACTTCGCGACGTGTCATGCATAATCATACTACCTTATGACAAAATAAACTCTAGTTTCTCCCATTTCACTGCGCGTTGTCTTATAAAAGGTATTTGAAAATACCTCCAATGTTGTTCAAATTCTCCGATGACGGATGTTGTTGACACTTTCGCGTTGCTCCCCTTTTAGATGCCAGAGCAAAACCGTACAGCAGGTGTAGCAAGATTTCTACGGCCGTGTGCGTTTTGTTCGCGGCTTGTACGCCTGCTAGCGCGCAATGGTGAAGTGACATTATCAGTTCGCCGATATCGAAGCCTAATACGTTATATCTCGAGTTTATTAGCGCTGCCTATTAATTATTAGCTGCAATGGCTGACATAGTCTCAGATGCAGCTTGTAGAATCGATGATCGTCCGTCCTCCAGTCCGTCGAGCGTCCGGTCCGTCCGTCCGTCCGTTTTTCCGTGTCTTGATCAAACAGTTGCGCACAAATTTAGGGACCGCCCTCGGTACGTGACGATATGTCGGGACGTGGGGTTGGGGATCATTGGTAATCATGAAAACAGATTTGGGATGTCGAAGGCTGGGGGTCAAAGCGGCAAGAGGCTGTAAAGAAAGGGGAACATTCGACTCCTTAACTTAAGGTATAGGCAGGAAATGCAAAATGCGGCACAATCTAACGGCTCGACCTAGGCTCAGGTGATAGATCGCGGCGGTGTTATAGTCAATCTGTAGGAAAAAGCCATCACGTGGGCCGAAATTGGAGGTCACCAGGTCAATGGGCACAGGGTCAGACTTTTAGAACATTTTCTGAGGACAGTGTCTCTGACGGAGCGATGAAAAACTTTTTTTGTTTCAGCGGTGACCTTAGCATTTTTATGCTTTATTGACAAGGTATTGAAAATATGCTTTCCACTGACATGCGAAAGTATATGAGTCGGATAACCTTTTACCCTGAAGAGGAGGGTATAAACATGATTTGTTGGGACTGTTAACAACAGGACATGAACTGCGTTTGCTATTATTAGGAGCCATACTCGTGTCAATGTGATTTACAAGCTTGCACCAGTTTAATGCAAAGGCACAATGTTATGTTGGAACAAGGGTTTTACGGCTCCTTAAATCATATCATTATTCTAACGCAGTCGTGTCTATAGCACCCTGCCCCTGGGCCTGAAGCGGAATGGAGATCAGTGAATGCTCGCATGAGCCAAACGGACTGGTCAGCACGCTTACGTATCATAATTGGTTGCCTGCGCAAACCTGCAATCGCACGTGTTAACTCACAGCTGGATCTCTATTATTATCGCCTGCCGCTGAATATACTTACTGGATTTTAGCCTGTACGACCTACTGTAGGTTTCAGGAACTCCCTGCGCAGCTAGAAGAGCAATGCCATCTTTGTTATGAGATTACACTATGCACGCCGCCATCTCTCGGCACTATAGGCCTAGTTTAACATAGATTTATATTCTCATGTAAAGTTGTTAAACGAGATAAATAATAACTAGTACCATATAATATATAATATTTACTTTTCATCTTGATCGTAACAATATCATGTAGCTATGTGCCGTGCGTTATCCATTTACCAGGTGATGCGAACATAAGGCTGTACCATAGAAAATTAGAGACGACTATATATTACTGGATTGCTACTGACTGCTTACCACTCAGGGGGGCATAAAACAAATACTATTGAGGGGCAGCAAAAGGATCATCGCTGGGTTTTTAAATTTTTTGAATAATTAGAGGAGAGAAAGGTCATTAAGATAAAGAGCAGAGAGAGAGTACTAAATCTGAGACGGGGACAGGAAACGGTGATACGGTGTGTACTGCGACGCGGGAACGGGGGTACAAATTTCAGGTCGTGCGAGAATGGTGTGCAAGGGGATGGGAGGTGGAGGCAGGGAGGGAGGTCGAAGCAGGGGAGGGCAGATGGGAGTAAGGGGGTGCGAAGTGAGAGCAAGGGGAGTGAAAGCTGAGGCAGGAGGGAGCGGAGGTGAGAGGAGTTGAGGGGGGAGTGGGACGCAGTGGGGCAAGGGAAAGTGTGGGACGAGAAGGACTCCCCGCCCCTCAAATTAAAACTCTGGAGACCATGCCTCATATGTGAAATCTTTTATAGATAGATAACAATAGATAGACTGTGAATCGTATGTACACAAATTCGAAAGAGTGAAAGGCAAGTATCATTTAAATAAAATAAACCAAAATCGTCCATGGGGGGAGATAGTGGAAGCACTGTCCTACAATGCATCGTGTACGCAACTGCGTATTGCATATCTGCGCCTAACACAATGTAGTCAGCTACGCAACGACATGAAATCTGTCTTCATAACGTGAGCAACAACCCAGATTGAGCCAGACGCGCTGCGGCTCTTGTTACTCCCAATAAAACCAATTGACAATTGATGTTACATACACTGCCACAGGGTTCTGCCCAGGATTTTTTAGTGCGGGGCGCATGATGCAAGCCCGGTAGCGCGAAGCCCAATCTAGGGTCCGGGGCATGCCCACGGAAAACTTATTTCATTTTCGGATACTCATGAAACTTAATTTTTCTACACTTTGCTGAGCAGAATAAAAAAACCTCATATATCAGTACTATATACTACAACTATCTTAAAATGTAAAGCGACTAATAATCTCTGCTCAACACCGCGTCAAGCAACATGTGACGTCACCAAACCGATTCGGTGCGAAAATTGCCTGCAAACAATTCGGCGCATTGGCGCCAGTTATTACCAGATTCGCCAACCTCTTTCTTATGGCGTTTTAAGCAAACGCCGGCAGTGAAGATGGGAGAAATAGAGTTGATTTTGTCATAAGGTAGTTGGGGATTATCGAATGTTTCCCCAGGATGAATTGAAACGAGGGGAGGGAGAGAGGGGGAGGGGGAGGGGAAAATAGGGGGGTCCGGCAGTACTGGCGGCTAGTTTTTATTTACCGTAAATGCGTAAAATCGCCAACACACCATAGACCAGGTATCTTGCGAAGGCACTCATCGTATATAGAATAGCCGATCGCGGAATTTAGAAAGAAGTTAGTGTTAGGTTTGGGACAGGTTTGACTGTTTTACTTGTGTGTGTTCTGCAGTGCATGCGCTTAGTGTTAGGACGTTTACGCATTAGTGGTACTGGTAAAAATACACTGCAGTCGGTGGTCCTGGTCGATGCGGAAATTCTTGACGATTGATTCCCGCCACGTGTCAAAGCTTTTATTGTGGTGGAATTTCAATCGGGCGGAAGTATTTAAACGGGCGCAACGCATTGAAACTGCGGGGGAGTTGTTCCCAACGGGCGGGCGCCGCCCAGGTTGCGCCAACGTAGGAGCGGGACTGATTATGCTGTCACGAAAGTATTGCTAGTCTAGTACTGGGAGAAATTAGCGTGTAGATGCGCATATTCTGGCTTTAATCATTTTAATGTAGTGTTATGTAGACTGTACTGTAGTTCAATATTGCATTTACAAACTGAATTAATGTCCAGTCACAGTAAATACTATATTTTGTATTTTGAAAATTGTTAAATATTATATATACTATATATATATACAGGGGTAGAAATTAACTTTTTTGAACAAGGAAGTCGATGGACTCCACTGCCCTCAAAAAGAGGATAGTCCGCCAGCAAATGAGGGCAGTATCAGTCGTAAATTCAAAACTAAAGCAGTAACACAATAACACTGTGTTTATTTGAAGATCCAAGTGCGATGCACGTCTGCAACATTTTCTTGGGATATCTGCTAGAAAAAAATATCGCGTAATCCGCCGAGCCATTCTATGCACAGCACTATGGCAACGATTCTGAATTTGAATAAAAAATAAATGGTAAAAAACAACGAAAGTGTATTTACTACCAAAAGTCCTTAATGAATCTCTACTCATCTATCGCCCTTTTTCTTTACCGGACATAATTACTCAGGTAAAGGGCCGCGTCAAATGCCATCTATCTGCAACAACAAAGTACACCGCGACGCTCGCCCTGCTGCACAAAACAACATGAATAAAGACAGGTAGTAGAAGCGGTGATCGTTAAATGTCGCTTGACGCTCGCTATCTATTTCACAACATCGGGG